AAGTTGATCCAAATTTTTACAGTCGTAATTTATTAATGTTAGGAAAAATATATCTGAAACTAAATCGTAAGGAAGATGCAGTAAAATATTTGAAAAAGGCCGCTGAATTTTCTGCCAAAACTGATGACGATCAGAAAGCGAAACAGGAAGCACAAAAAATATTGAACAGTATTTAGACAGAGAATACAGATAAATTTATATATTTTTATACTATTTTTTCAATGGAAAATAATATATGACTTGGATTTTGATATATTGAACATTCTTATTATTCGAGGATAAAATTTATATATTATATATATATTATTTTCATAAAATACCGTTGATATTGTGCATGATGTGATTATATGTATATGTAATAGACAGTGTGTGTTTTCATATTTTTTATATATTTTATATATTTTACAGAAATATAATTTAATCGTTGTATTTATATTAGGTGTGTGCATATATATATATATATACAGAGTTTAAATCCCGAAACCAAAGATCGCGATCGATTGAAAATAATCGTTTAATTGTCCCTGGAGAGTAGACGAAATTTTACAATCTACATATTGTCTGTATTTGTTCAGCCCTTATGAGCTCTAAAAATGTATGCTACGCAGCAGACAATACGCTCCATAGTTACACGGGAGTAAGATTTTGAAGAAGTCCGGCATTTTATATGCAAATGAATTATTTTGTAAAAAATTTGCGCGTGAATTATTTTGTAAGTTGGATTCTTCTCTTTAACTAGGCCTCTATCTTTGTCCACGTTTATACACCACTCTTTCGGAGGGTTGTTTAATAACACCTCTAGACGACTAGACTACTAGATAGCTGCATTAATGCATTGATTTACAGGGATCTGGACAGCAGCGTCGACGGATGGATTCGTTGGGACTTGGACAGCGGCATCAACGGTCAGATTTGCCGATAATCTAAACGGAACAGCAATGTGATGATTGTTGGCGTTGGATGGTGTCGTTAAAGCTTGACATTAGATACGTATATAATGTACACTCGCGGTCAGAAATGCCTTCCCACCTAAATTTGTAAACGTATATCAAAGTAATATCCGACGTGCGTGTTTCGTCTCTAAATATTCACGCGTTATGATTATTGGCAGCGATAAGATAAAATAAAATGATTAATAAAAAATAACATAATATTAATAATATCAATTTGTTAAAAAGTTTAATAGAATTATCTTGCTAATTTTAATGTGATATCCGAAAAGATTAGAGTTTTTGTGCTGAATAGCTGTCTTTAGGCTGAAGCCATTAAAAAAAAAAAAAAACGACTAGATATATTATGAAGACCGATGGTCTTATAGTATGGGATTTAGCGTGAAAAAGAACTCGCTGTGTGCTACTGTAGGTTTAATATTAAATATTAAATATCATTAATTATATTTAATATTAAATAAAAGTCACATGTCAATATTTGACTCACCAAAACAGTCATAATGCAAGAGTGTTTAGAAACGAAACACGCACGTCGGATATACCCCGATATTAGTGTACAAATTCTGGTGGGAAGGCATTTCCGACTTTGTCTGTAAATATTTTTTTAATGCGATATTAAATTTCTTGGATTGTATTGAGTTTAAGACTATATATATACGTATGGAATGCGATAGAGAATATATATATCATCCATATCTCCTTCTCGGAAGTAATTGAAATCTATACGTATAGTATAAACCATGCAGTTGATTCTTGGAATTTATTTAATTATAGATTAAGCATTATTTGAAAAGTAGATTCTTCGTAGATGTTATCTATAATAAATATATATAAAATGTAGTTAATATATATCTTATCTACATAGATCTATATATTATCTCTACTCTTTTTGAAGCAGGTTTCTTTAAATTTAATAATTATTTGCAGATCTAAATCTGTGTATTACATTTTGCTACTAATATAATTTTCCCGACACACATACATGCGAGCGCGCACACACACATATATTTATGAAGATTACTTACGACTCTTGCGTAACAACACCAGAATGCATTCTGCGCTCAGCGAACAGAGACGACTTCACGAGGAACGACTCTACAAGATTCGTATCTCCTTTTGTTTGGAAGCATAATTTCCAGTGACTTTGCACACAGCATCGATACACACTGAGTATATTTTTTTAAATGAAAGAGCTATAATAATCTGTTAACAAAATAAACAACATTCGTCGAGCGAGAAACATTAGGTAAACAGGTAAAAAAAAAAGATAATATCACGCGATACATGGACGTGAAAACGCTTATATACTTTATTTACCAGCGAACAGACAAACATATTACTTACACGAATATAATTTATATATCGTGTGTGTGATTTTAATAAATAATAATTTACGAAATATATTCCTATATAAAGTATATATTTTGAAAGCTTATAAAGATACTGTGAGGGGGAGAGGAAGGAGATTTGCGTTTTAATATTGATTCAGAGAGAACAATTATCTATTACTTTTACGCTACAATTTTAAAAGAACATATTCGTAAACTACTTATAAACTATGTATCCTTGTTGAATCGTATCCGCATATCGATGTACAGCGAATATAGTGTTAAATATATTTATTTACTATAGCGTGATCGTGTCAATATATACGAAGCATCGAGGCCTAAAATATATATAAATATAAACGGCACAAATAGAAAATAACAAATGGGTATGAAACTCTATAGGATGTGAGAATTCGATATCTAAATTATTGAGATTAAGTTTTATTTTTTTTGTCTAAAATTTTAATAATTACGGGCCCGGAATTCTGCTAAGGGTTTGACAAAATCAATCCCGATCGAATCAAACAATAAAAACATTATTCGATACATAATTATTATATATGTATTTTTCGGTTATATGGCTTCGTTTTTATATAATGACATATATATATATATATGAGATCGACATATTTCTCGCGTGTCGTTTCTCCCGCTCTCTCGAAGATAGACTTTATTCATCGGTAAAGATGTATTCTCTCGTAGATATGTACACATCGTACGTCGGTAATAGCGTTATTTGCAAGTGTATTCCTCGGTACGTTCGGTGCAAGTCTCGCAGTATACGCGGCAGCACCAGTGAAACTTGCATCTGCACTGCCACGTTCTCGTGAATTGGTGCGTGTTGTAACCACGACCGCAGCACATTAAATCACATCCATCGGTTCCTGGACGAAAAAGAAGGAAAGGGGTAATAATATTCTTGCGAACGACGTGAAAAGAACGCGATCTCGGACAATCGTCATTCAAATATTCAATTTCAAAATGAAAGCGGGATGAATAAAAATTTGGGATTCGCGTTTCTATCTCTATCTCTCTCTCTCTCTCTCTCTCTTTTGAATAAGAAAATAAGAATTCGACGAATATCGCGATGACACGTTAGCTCGATTAAAATTTGTAGTACGATTGCAATATCTGCCCTGTGTGCCGAGACTAGAAAGGTACGTGATAATATTATTCTTGCGAACGACGTGAAAAAAGCGCGATCTTGTCGAAGAATCGCCGTTCGAATATTCAATTTCAAAATGGAGGCGGAATGAATAAAAATTCGAGATTCGCATTTCTCTCTCTCTCTCTCTTTCGAACAAGAAAATGTAAGAATATTGTGATAATACGTTATTTCGATTATAAAATTTGTTTATCATCATTCCCTCTCACCTTTGCTAGTACGATTGCAATATCTGCCCTGTGTGCCAAGACTACCCTGCGCCAAATCCGGCTCGCAGTAGTTGGGCGAGGGTTGCAAATAGACCAGCTCGCTCCTCTTCGGAATCCTCTTCAGCCCTTTACCCGGACCACCGCTAACTTTCGTTCTTTTCAGGACCAAGTGCGGCTTTCGCGACTTGCTGGACTTCTTCGATGAGGACTCGTGCCGGGATTTGACGAAATCATTCGGCTTGCCTTGAGTCTTGGCGTCGTTGCCCAATATTGGTACCATTTCCGGCGACACGGAATGCGACATCGCGTCCAACGTCTATGATGTATAGGAGACAGGTGAGTTGATTTTTGTAAAAACATCGTTGAATCAAAATGAAAAAAAAGATGCGACTTGTGTTTCGATTTAGAAATATTATGTTAATCGCGCTCCGAATCGACCATTGATTTATCATATTAAATTGGTGCGGCTTTCGCGACTTGCTGGACTTCTTCGATGAGGACTCGTGCCGGGATTTGACGAAATCATTCGGCTTGCCTTGAGTCTTGGCGTCGTTGCCCAATATTGGTACCATTTCCGGCGACACGGAATGCGACATCGCGTCCAACGTCTATGATGTATAGGAGACAGGTGAGTTGATTTTTGTAAAAACATCGTTGAATCAAAATGAAAAAAAAAGATGCGACTGTTTCGATTTAGAAATATTATGTTAATCGCGCTCCGAATCGACCATTGATTTATCATATTAAATTGATTCATTCGGGGCAAATTTTACCTGATCCGTGGACGGAGGTGGCGGTGTAACGGCGATGACAGGTCTAGCCCTGTAGTACTTCTTCATGAGCGCATCGCCGATCTGGCGAAAACTCGGCAGCGTTCGCCAACACGTTCTCACGGTGCACGATCCGGACACACCGTGACATTTACACTCCGTTTGCAGATGAGCCTTAACGATCTGAAAAAGAAGAGTACGCGTTCGCGTAATAGCGTAATTTCCATAAATTGTGATTTCTCGCGAGTGTTTTCTTCATTATTCACTTTTCTTTATTCATCTCCGACGACTGACATTTAACTTTGCGCTTTTTGCGAAAGTGCAGGCACTCGCGGCAGTAATGTTAATGATTGTATTTTGCTATCGCTAAACATTAAAGCATTAAAAAGCTATAACGCTCGGTTCGGCTGATTATGAATAAGATGCAATATAATTGAAGAATAGAATGTTATTCAGCTTATATTATTTTTTATTACAGTTTCGACTTTCTGCATTGTTCGCGAAAACTTTACAAATGCGTTTCGGATATCCGAATATTTATAGTCTAAAGAATAATTGAAAAGAATAAACGCAATCGTTCGAATTTTGGATTGCTATTAAAAGATCTCTACTATTTGTTTCATCACCAATGATGAAAAGTGTCTCGGTTGTTGTGTAACTATGCGCGATTTCTTTGTTGTTGAAAACAAATCAGTTTTCCATTAACAATTTAGCTATGTGATAAAATAAAGTAGTAGCAATCCGGAAAGAATTGAATTTGCGTTTACAACACCTTTTTTTAATTATCCAAATGTAATATGCGAAAGGTTTCATAATTAGAATATCCTTTGATTGGTTTCAGAAATACGAATATGCGAAAGAGATTTGCTTAAGATCGAGAAATGAATTCACATATCGTATCGAAACAGACGACAACTAGGTGCGATCAATGCAAAACGATGTACAACGATTAGTTCTTTACATCGTACAAGGTATGTCCTATGCAAATTTCAAATCTACACGTGTGTCCGGGATCTCTTTCATTCGGAGAATGAAAATGAGAACGAGAACTTTTACAATGCGCGCTCGATGAGAACGGATGCATCGTCCGATGCCTGAATCATCTTCAAACGACAAGGAGATACGCATCGGTTCATTATGAAGGAATCAATGGCGTAGAGAGAGAGAGTCACCCCGACTGTCATAATATTACAAATAATTTTCAATCGCGAAATTTTAGCATATCTATGTCTTTTTTTTATAACGAATATGCGATTTCTTTGTCACTTTTAGAAACGTGAAAGATTTACGCACGACTGTATTTCTTGGAAAAAGGTTTGCTAAAAGTTTCTTCTTTAAATTCTCTAATCTCAATATGTGCTTTAATTATATTTCGATATTTGCATACGTATGACCGACTTATGTTTCGCATATAACTCGCACTTGTATTTGTGATTCGTATACGTACAAATTCGTGGTACAAAAAAAAAAAAATTAAACGAAAAGTAAAATCCTTAATCACATATTTGAACACCATACTTTCTATAAAGGTGTGACGGTCAAACAATGTTTTTGGAAATTAATCCAATATAGAGATTTCGCGTAGCCACGCCACTGGACGCGGGAGATACATCTCGGTTAACTCTGAACGACCGACTGCGTGATTTTAAATGGTTGTAATCGTATCGAGTGCTCATCTGTAAATTCCTGTTGCTCGCTCGATTCCCGATGGGAAGGAAGATGAAGAGGGGATGGGGAGGGCGGAAAGGGGGAAGGAAGGGACCTCTCATTGTGCATCGGCCGCGAACGCGCGCGCGAGCGGATACGATACGATAGCAATGCGTACGAAACTGGTTTATATTTCGAATTATCTCCGTGGGGTGTGCCACGCAGGCGCGCGGGAAAGGTTAAAAAATCGTCGGAAACATAAAGTATGTGCGTTGGGGACGCGATCGACGTTGAGAATAAATCGTTATAGCCCCGCGAGATCGGGGTACACATATACGTACACGTATACGATACACCGACGAAAGGAGAGTTTTTATTGCCCGCCCGTAATAAAGGCCCATCGAAGAGAGGAAAGAAAGCTCGAAGGACTTTCCCCAATTAAGGTACGCCGCCCTCGACCTCGGACATCGTTTCTCACAAACGTTCGTTTTCGATTGTCGATCTTTCTGCGCGAGAAAAGTAATCGTCTAACGAGTCAGGAAAAGAATTTTAATCATTGATACATTATAACAATTCGATAAGTCTACAGTTGTTCTTAATCACTTTTATTCAACTATAGAAAGAATTATTTTAATTACATACAGATGTAGGGTAAAATATCGATGTTACGTATTTTAATCAGATTAATTGTGTGATACTGATAATTTTCACAAGAGATACGATTGAAATGTCTGGATAATGTAAGGTGAACGGGCGCGTCCGTGCGAATCGCGAAACGACGACATTGTCTTCTCCGGGGATGATTGGCTCCTCAGTGGGTTATTGCGCGATAAATCAAATTTGATAGCGTCTAGTTTGCATACGCTTGGTATACGAGAGATGCGCGCGTCTCATTATCGATATTACCGCCTTGTTATCCGATCTCGTTTCCATCCCGAGATACTATTGATATGCTAATCTTTATACAAATACATACATACATACATACACACATAAATTTTTTTTATCGACACTATATATATATATATATATA